AATCGATCAATCAATCAACCAATCGACGATGTGCAGCGGTCAAGTCGATCCGCAAGCAACAGCTCGTTGAGGTGCGAACCATGGCTAATCCGCCGTCGGTGGTTAAATTGGCTCTCGAATCGATCTGTCTGCTGCTGGGCGAAAATGCGACCGATTGGAAATCGATCCGCGCCGTGATCATGCGCGAAAATTTCATAAATTCAATTGTATCTAACTTCGGTACCGAGAACATAACGTAAGCATGAAACAAATTTTTACCCACAAAACCATTTTGTTATCGACTTTAATTCTTGTTCTTGTTGATGTTTTTGATGTTATGCTATTAGTTTCGAGTGTAGAAATTGGTTTTCATTTGAGTTGACTTTGTTATTACTTTTTTTTGTAGTTCTAGTTTGAATTGTTCAAGCGAGCTGCCTTATGGTTTGTAAATATTTGAACTTTCTAATGATTTAACTGAATTTCAAACTAATTTTGGTTATTGGCTCTAACTTTTGTTGATTTCTCCTTTGGTTTTGGTCAAATTTATCGTTGTTTCATAGTAATCCGACTGCTTTGCTTGCTTAATTCATTCAAATAACTTACTAAACTGGGGTGTTTTATCGCTGACTAATGTAAGAATTGTGTTAAAACAGCGATGATGTGCGCGAGAAGATGAAGTCCAAGTATCTGAGCAATCCGGATTATAACTTCGAAAAGGTTAATCGTGCCAGTATGGCTTGTGGTCCTATGGTTAAATGGGCCATTGCTCAGGTAAGGATCATATAAAATCTATGCTGGATATTTCTTAAACATAAAATTTTCCAATCCAGATCGAGTACGCTGACATGTTGAAGCGTGTGGAGCCACTTCGCGAAGAATTGCGCTCCCTGGAGGAGCAGGCCGATGTCAATCTGGCCAGCGCCAAGGAAACCAAGGACCTGGTGGAGCAACTGGAGCGCAGTATTGCTGCCTACAAGGAGGAGTACGCCCAGCTTATTTCCCAGGCCCAGGCCATCAAAACCGATCTGGAGAACGTCCAGGCCAAGGTGGATCGCTCCATTGCTCTGCTCAAGAGCTTGAACATTGAACGCGAGCGCTGGGAGTCCACTAGCGAGACTTTCAAGTCCCAGATGTCCACCATTGTGGGCGATGTGCTGCTCTCCGCGGCCTTTATCGCCTACGGTGGCTACTTTGATCAGCACTATCGGTTGAACTTGTTCACCACCTGGTCACAGCATCTGCAGGCGGCCAGCATTCAGTACCGCGCGGATATCGCTCGCACCGAATATCTTTCCAATCCCGACGAGCGACTGCGCTGGCAGGCAAATGCCCTGCCCACGGATGATCTGTGCACGGAGAACGCCATTATGTTGAAGCGCTTCAACCGCTATCCGCTGATCATTGATCCTTCGGGTCAGGCAACCACTTTCCTGCTCAACGAATACGCTGGCAAGAAGATCACAAAGACCTCGTTCTTGGATGACTCGTTCCGCAAAAATCTGGAGTCCGCACTGCGTTTCGGCAATCCCCTGCTCGTCCAGGATGTGGAGAACTACGATCCTATTCTCAACCCGGTGCTGAACCGCGAACTGCGTCGCACTGGCGGTCGTGTGCTGATCACCCTCGGCGACCAGGACATTGATCTGTCGCCGTCCTTCGTCATCTTCCTGTCTACACGCGATCCCACCGTGGAATTCCCGCCGGATATTTGCTCGAGGGTGACATTCGTGAACTTTACAGTCACGCGCAGCTCTCTGCAGTCGCAGTGCCTCAACCAGGTGCTAAAGGCTGAGCGTCCGGATATAGATGAGAAGCGTTCCGATTTGCTGAAGCTTCAGGGCGAGTTCCGACTGCGCTTGCGCCAGTTGGAGAAGAGTCTTTTGCAGGCGCTCAACGACGCCAAGGGCAAGATCCTGGACGACGACTCGGTGATTACCACATTGGAGACCCTTAAGAAGGAGGCCTACGACATAAACCAGAAGGTAGATGAAACCGACAAGGTTATAGCCGAGATCGAAACAGTGTCGCAGCAGTATCTGCCACTCTCGGTGGCCTGCAGCAACATCTACTTCACCATGGACAGCCTTAACCAGGTGCACTTCCTCTACCAGTACTCCCTGAAGATGTTCCTCGACATCTTCTCCACTGTGCTGTATAATAACACCAAGCTGGAGGGCCGGACCGATCACTCCGAGCGTCTTGGCATTGTGACTAGGGATCTGTTCCAAGTGTGCTATGAGCGAGTGGCTCGTGGAATGATCCACAATGATCGCTTGACCTTTGCCCTGCTCATGTGCAAAATCCATCTGAAGGGCACCTCGGAGTCTAACCTGGATGCGGAGTTCAACTTCTTCCTGCGCAGCCGAGAGGGACTCCTTGCCAACCCTACTCACGTGGAAGGACTTTCCGGTGAGCAAATCGAGAGTGTCAACCGTCTGGCCACTCGTCTTCCCATCTTCCGTAAACTTCTGGAGAAGGTGCGCTCCATTCCCGAGCTGGGTGCCTGGTTGCAGCAGAGCTCGCCCGAACAGGTTGTTCCCCAGCTGTGGGACGAGTCCAAGGCACTCAGTCCAATTGCCAGTTCCGTGCACCAGCTGCTGTTGATTCAGGCCTTCCGACCGGATCGCGTTATAGCCGCCGCTCACAATGTGGTCAACACTGTGCTTGGAGAGGATTTCATGCCCAATGCCGAACAGGAATTGGACTTCACCGCCGTAGTGGACAAGCAGTTGAACTGCAACACTCCCGCGCTCCTTTGCTCGGTGCCCGGCTTCGATGCCTCAGGACGTGTGGATGACTTGGCTGCGGAGCAGAACAAGCAGATTTCCAGCATTGCCATCGGTTCCGCTGAGGGCTTTAACCAAGCTGAGAGGGCCATTAACATGGCCTGCAAGACTGGTCGCTGGGTGCTCCTGAAGAACGTCCACTTGGCTCCTCAGTGGCTTGTGCAGCTGGAGAAGAAGATGCACTCGCTCCAGCCTCATTCCGGTTTCCGACTCTTCCTTACCATGGAGATTAACCCCAAGGTTCCAGTTAACCTACTGCGTGCTGGCCGCATCTTTGTGTTTGAGCCTCCACCAGGCATTCGGGCCAATCTGCTGCGCACGTTCTCCACGGTGCCGGCGGCTCGCATGATGAAGACCCCAAGTGAGCGGGCTCGCCTTTACTTCCTGCTGGCCTGGTTCCACGCCATCGTCCAGGAGCGACTTCGATATGTGCCCCTCGGCTGGGCCAAGAAGTACGAGTTCAACGAATCGGATCTGCGCGTGGCCTGCGACACCTTGGACACCTGGATCGACACCACGGCCATGGGTCGTACCAATCTGCCACCAGAGAAGGTGCCATGGGATGCCCTGGTCACCCTGCTCTCGCAGTCCATTTACGGAGGAAAGATCGACAACGATTTTGATCAGCGGCTATTGACTTCGTTCCTAAAGAAGCTCTTCACCGCACGCAGCTTCGAGGCAGACTTTGCCCTGGTGGCTAACGTTGATGGTGCCTCCGGAGGCTTGCGTCACATCACCATGCCTGATGGTACCCGTCGTGACCACTTCTTGAAGTGGATTGAGAACCTAACCGACCGCCAGACTCCTTCGTGGTTGGGACTGCCCAACAATGCGGAGAAGGTGCTGCTGACCACTCGTGGAACGGATTTGGTCAGTAAGCTGCTCAAGATGCAGCAGCTGGAGGACGACGATGAGTTGGCCTACAGCGTGGAGGATCAGGAGCAATCTGGAGTGGTCCGCGGCGAGGATGGACGACCATCGTGGATGAAGACACTGCACAACTCGGCTACCGCCTGGTTGGAGCTGCTCCCGAAGAATCTGCAGGTGCTCAAGCGTACGGTGGAGAACATCAAGGATCCCTTGTACCGATACTTCGAGCGCGAGGTGACCAGCGGTTCCCGGCTGCTGCAGACAGTAATCCTGGACCTCCAGGACGTGGTTCTTATCTGCCAGGGCGAGAAGAAGCAGACCAACCACCACCGTTCCATGTTGTCGGAGTTGGTGCGTGGCATTATCCCGAAGGGCTGGAAGCGCTATACCGTTCCTGCAGGATGCACAGTGATCCAGTGGATCACGGACTTCAGTAACCGTGTGCAGCAGCTGCAGAAGGTATCGCAATTGGTGTCGCAGGCTGGCGCCAAGGAGCTGCAGGGCTTCCCCGTTTGGTTGGGCGGTCTGCTCAATCCGGAGGCCTACATCACGGCCACCAGGCAGTGTGTGGCCCAGGCGAACAGTTGGTCGCTGGAGGAGCTCGCTCTGGAAGTGACCATCACGGATGCTGGTCTGAAGACCGATCAGAAGGACTGTTGCTTCGGGGTCACTGGACTCAAACTGCAGGGCGCCCAGTGCAAGAACAACGAGTTGCTGCTGGCTTCCACAATCATGATGGATCTGCCTGTGACCATTCTCAAGTGGATGAAGTGAGTTTACTCTCGTGAAAATCGGGTTCTTTCTTTACTTAAGCTTTAATTTTTTATAGGATCTCCTCGGAGCCGCGCATCAGCAAGCTGACATTGCCGGTTTACTTGAACTCCACGCGCACGGAACTACTTTTCACCGTGGACTTGGCCGTAGCTGCAGGACAGGATTCGCACAGCTTCTACGAGCGAGGTGTGGCCGTTTTGACTTCCACAGCCTTGAACTAAGTGCTCAGCACAAACTATCTTCTATAGCCTATTTATTACTCATAACAATCCTACAGCGCTTCAGAAAAAAGCGATTTAAAACCGTTACTTTAAGTGTCTAAAAGTTAATGAAATATTTTATATTTTTTATTTAAATTTCCCAATGAACGTGTTATAAATTTGAATTTGAAAGAAAATCTTAAGATTATAAATCCTTTCTTAAAGCTGAAAATACTTTAAACTTTCAACATTGGACCTAACAATTTTAATTACTTCTAAAAACGTTGTATCTTTTGAAGTACGTTTTTGTTATATAAACACACTCGTAAAATTATTTTTACCCAATCCCCTTAAAGTTTCCTAAAATATATATACTCTTAGCAACCCCAGTCAAATCTTTCTATTGGATGAAAACCGGCTACTCACAATGTGGGCGCTCCTTCGGCCAGCTCTGTGGTTTGGAAGCTCCCTTCGGGGCTACCACATGCCTGTGCCCTTTCCGCAGCCCCGGAACGAAACATCCTTGGTTCTGGTCGACGAGGCCCGTCGTTTCATTCAGGATTGCCTGCTGCGGGTTGGAGTTCCCTCCTCCAAGGTGCGCTGCATCAGCGAGTTCCTGGTTGTGGCCGACTATCGAGGGAACTTTGGCAACGGACTGAATCGCCTGGACAACTACCTCAGTGATCTGCAACGTGGACACGCCCGGCTGGAAGCAGAGCCTTCCGTAATCAGCGAAACGATGGCCACTGCCCATGTGAATGGCAACTCCGCCCTGGGCGTCCTCGTGGGAAACTTCTGCATAGATCTGGCGGTGAAGAAGGCGCAGAGTGCGGGTATTGGATTTGTGGTGGCCCAGCAATCTCATCACATTGGAATGGGTAGCTGGTATGCGTTCCGAGCTGCTGTTAAGGGACTGGCCGGGATGGTGATGTCCAATGCGGCTCCAACGATGATGGCTCCCGATTCCAAGTCGGCCAGTATTGGCTCCAATTGCCTGGCCTTCTGTGTAAAGGGTAAGGAGTACCACTTTGTGCTGGACATGGCCACCAGCGTGAAGGATATTGGAGCCGTGGAGTGGGCCTGGGCCAACGATGAGTATATACCGCATGGCTGGGCGGCCAATGAGGGAGGCTTTTCAACCTGCTTTCCCAGCCTGGCGCTACGGTCACCATTACTCTTCCCCGCCGGAGGTCACAAAGGATACTGCCTGTCGGCCATTATCGATCTTCTGTGTGGAGTGCTCTCCGGCGCCCAGTATGCCACCCACATACCCCTGGATCAGAGTCAACCCTCAAACCTGGGTCAAGTGTTCATTGCCCTCGATCCCGAGTTCTTTTTGCCCAACTTTATGGAACGTCTGGATGACTTTTGTGGTCGCATTCAGGATAGCCAGCCGGCAGACGAGTCGGAACCCATCCGGCTGCCTGGCGAACTGGAGCGAATGCACATGAACTACGTGGAGGATTTGCGGGCCCTGCCCTATCCCAACACCCTTTTATCCAAGTACAAGGATGTTGCGGATAGGCTTTGTGTGCGACCCATAGAACTGGCTTTCGACCGGTGTCAGTCCAGGAAGAGCTTTTAGTCTTATACTCGTTAAATGTTGGGGAAATTTCAATATAACATTATTTTTCGTGGGGGTGGTTGTCGAAATGCGCCATCTATATGTTGAGTTTAGCAAATTACCCGACTTGTGGGGGTGAGTTTTTTGCAATCTGAAATACTGGAAACGGTTGGTTTGTAAGTGAATGCATATTTTTTTCGCCAGATGGCGTACAGCTAAAAGAGCGACTGTTTTGTGCAGCCCTTTTGAGAAAAAAAGGGTTCAAATTTTTGTCGAAAATACAAAGTTCAGATTTTTGGTAAAAATGCGATATTTTTTTTCGATTTTTCCATCGTAGTTCAGCTAAATTAAGGCGTACAGCAAAAAGACCGACTGTTTTGAGCAGCTTGCTTAATATGCAAACGATCCTCATCACTTTTAGGAAAATTTATTTTTTGACCAATTTTCTCATTTTTTGTAGGGGTTGCATCACTTTTTTGCGAAAAATGGAAAAAATTAAACATTTTCAGGTTAGAATGCCAATAGATTGGAAATTAAACACCGAGCTCAACGAGATATGACATTCCTTATTCTGACTTATACTTTTGTTATGGCAGCCAAAAAACAAAATTTTTATGGCGAAAAAAAGAGTTCAAATTTTTGTCGAAAATTCGAAATTCTGATTTTTAATAAAAATGCGACGTTTTTTCGGTTTTTCCATAGTAGCTCAACTAAAATAAGGCGTACAGCTAAAAGACCGACTGTTTTGAGCAGCTTGCTTAACATGCTAACGATCCTCATCACTTTTAGGAAAATTTATTTTTTGACCAAATTTATCATTTTTTGTAGGGGTTGCATCACTTTTTTGCGAAAAATGGAAAAAATTAAAAATTTTCAGGTTAGAATGCCAATAGGTTGGAAATTAAACAACGAGCTCAACGGGGTATGACATTCCTCATTCTGACTTATACTTTTGTTATGGCAGCCAAAAAACGCAATTTTTATGTCGAAAAAAAAGATTCAAATTCCATCGTAGTTCAGCCAAATTAAGGCGTACAGCTAAAAGACCGACTGTTTTGAGCAGCTTGCTTAATATGCTAACGATCCTCATCACTTTTAGGAAAATTTATTTTTTGACCAATTTTCTCATTTTTTGTAAGGGGTGCATCGTCTTTTTTTGCGAAAAATTTCAAAAATTAAAAATTTTCAGGTTTGGATGCCAATGGTTTGGAAATTAAGCAACGAGCTCAACGAGGTATGACATTCCTCGATCTGACGTTTACTTTTTTTGTAGCAGCCAAAAAACTTGATTTTTAGGGCGAAAAAAAGGGTTTAAATTATTGTCAAAAATAGGAAATCCGGATTTTGACAAAGAAATATATTTTCTTTTTGATTAAAAAATCGTATTACAGAATTGTAATGGTCATGTACCAATATTTTATTCAGAATAAGATTTTTGATAATATTATTATATTTATTTTATAATTGCTAAACATTTTAAGATCACACATTGACAATAGAATGCATAAATCTCTGTCCAATTACGAGTATTACGAGTCAACGTCCTGGGGGGTTTCCCAGCCGAACTCTTCAGCTGATTGTTCCGATATAGCATATAGACACTCGGTTGATTGTTAGGCGTGCACACAGAGACTTTCGGTTTCAATCTGGACTCTGGATCCCGGTGATTCTGGTGAGGCCTGGGCGACAGCAAGATGCGCTGCAATTCGCCGGCTCCCATGTGGCGCTGTGAGCTACTTAAGCGTAATTGCAGTAAATGCAAATTTTCGCAAATTATTTGAATTACGAATTGATTCGGTCCGAAGTGGACTATAAATGGGACTGCAGATCTGGGCAGACGTCTCAGAACGTCGCTAGAAATCGCCGAAGACATGTCGCTGGGAATCTTTCAACTATTGAGCTTTATCCTGCTAATGGATCCAGGCGAGGTGATCACAGGACCTCCCCAGGCCAAGGATGTGCCTGCCCAGAGTCTGGATGAGTTCCGGCAGAGGTATCTGCTGCCCCTAATCTCATCGGACACCAGAAACTGCAGTCTGAATGCGTGTGAGTCACTGGGGATTGTGTCACAGCTCTTGATGCTCATCAACTCGATGCCAAATGGAACCCACACGACAACGAACGGTCAGAAACCTCCCAATCCCAAGGTCAATGGGCAAGGCAATGGCGATGGAAATAGCGGGGAGATCAATGCCATGTCCCATCTGGCCAATTTTGATCTGGTCAAGCGGGTGCGGCAAATCGAGAGTCGCCTGCGATCCGTGGAGCAGCCCATTTGGCATCTGGCCACCGGCAGCCAGATCGAGTGGAACCACTGCACCTCGGGCGTGTGTCGCTGCAATCCGGACACCAAGAGCTTCACCTGCTGGAACACCAATCTGAAATCAGTGCCGGTCACTCAGGTGATACCCATGAACATGGTGAACATGTGGGTTAGCCAACTGCTTCTGTGGGATATCATTTATATGAGCCTTCTAATCCCCTAGAGATCTTTCCCGCAACATCTTGTCCACCCTGCACAAGGACACCTTTCGCGGACTGACGGTTCTCAAGGAGTTGGATGTGTCACACAATGTTCTGGATTTTCTGCCCTTTGATTTGTTCCAGGATCTGGATAGTCTGCTGGTTTTACGCATTCAAAACAATCAACTGGAGGACCTTGATCATCGTACCTTTTGGAAGCTGCGAAATTTAAATATTCTGGATCTGAGCAAGAATGAGATTGGCATGTTGCCTGAATCCATATTTTATCACGCCCAGAGACTCACGGTGATCAATATGTGCGACAATCAGATAAAGAACTTTCCACCTAATCTCCTGAGAGATCAGCTCATGTTGGAGGAGCTTGATATGTCCAGGAATAAAATCAGTGAGCTCAGCTCGGGCAGCATTCGATATTTGACCAAGCTGAAGACCCTTGACTTTGGTTGGAATCAAATAGGTAAGAGGGTTTGTATATAAAATATAAAATTGCTCCCTGCTCATCCAACTTAATTCTTTCCTAGCCAAGATAGATGATGACTTTTTTATGGGTCTGAAGAGTCTGCGAACTCTTTCGCTGCACAACAACCGAATCTCATCGCTTTCGGCAACAATTTTTAGTAACCTGGCCAACTTGGTCACCCTCGATTTGACCACGAATCGGATAAGTCATGTAAAAGTAACTCAGTCTATTGTTAAATTCTTTTAAATATTTGTCTTTAATAGATGGATGGCAATGCCTTTGTGGAGCTAAACAACCTGCATGAACTATTTTTGGGTCAGAACTCCATGTCCAGTATTCCTGCTGATCTTTTCCTGAATGTCAGTGCCCTTACACGGTTGACACTCTTTTCCAATAATCTAACCACCTTGGAAGCTGATGACTTCCAGGGATTGAGCAACCTTAAGATATTGCTGCTCAACAATAATATTCTTAAGAATTTCGATGCCCGAGCTTTTGAGCCTCTCGCACAACTGGAAAAACTGTGAGTTACGAGCAGGGTATATTATAGAAAGAATTTAAATATTTATTTCCATTTACTAGCCGCATTGACTCCAACAAGCTGATGTTCCTGCCCCATGGAGCACTTCATGGCATGGAGAAGTTGGTGGCCGTCAAGCTGGACAAGAATCCCTGGCACTGCGATTGCCGAGCCCTTTATTTGGCCAGGTGGATACGGGAGTTTGTGCTGAAACTCTGGGATGGCCAGCAGCCCATGTGCCGAGGTCCTGGGGATCTGGGAGGTCACGAGGTGGGTCTGCTCCGTTACGATGACCTCTGCGATGGCCAGTGGGCCAGCATGTTGTCCCTGTCCCCGCGGCTGCCAGTTCGAAAGAATCAGATCTCCACGCCGATGAACTATACGGACTACTTTAATCTCTACCTGAAGCACATCTATAATGGCACCACCAACGAGGAGCTCAAGGAGGCCGATATAACCAGCGTGGCCATTAAGAAAGTTCACAAGGATTAAAAAAAAAGGGATATTAATATATAAATGCTTATCCCAGCGCTCATAAACATAACCATTAGAGGCTATAACATTAGATAAAGAAAGCTAAATATTTTGAGAACCATAGTTCTCATGAAGATAACTTAAAATACATATAAATAAATATATTTGTTAGTAGATTATATGCTTGTCAAATCGCTTATTAAATTCCGATACTTTGCTCTGAAACGATTTTAAAGCTGGTTCCACTTAAGTCAGCCACAAAACTTGCAGTTTCCCCAACCGCCATCAAAGTTTCAAAGTTTACCACTTCTCCTTGTCAAAACAAATTTAAAGTCAATTATGTATTTGCATGGCAGACATTTAGTATTAATTTGCAACCTCATGGGAAATAAACCATCCTTGGGCGCACCTCTATATCACTCCGCCTCCGCCTTTTGAGGGAGCAAAAATTACGGGCCGCTTTTTACCGGTGTCTGCGTTTGCGACAAGCTTTTTACCTAACCAATTTATTGCTTCCGCCCGGCCCAGCCTAACTTCGTTCTAGGAGCTATCTTGGGTCCTACTGGGTTCACTAGCTCCGCTCTTGCCATTTGGCTGCACCGAAAAAAAAAATCTCAGATTCTAGATTGTTATCACTCAGAGAAAGTTGACATGAAGTTAAGTAGTTCGAAAGGAATAAATGGGTTTCTCAATGCGGTGTTAAATTCTAGAACGACAAATCTTTACAATCGAAACATGGAAAAAGAAGATAGGATTTATTTTCTTCTTCATTTTCGTTTTATTGACGGACAAACTTAACTGGAACATTACCTCTGGTTAGGAGTTTTCAAGATGAAACCTAAAATTATATTGTGAAACTTAAAATTACCATGAGATTCAGTACAGGACCTTATATACCAACACAGTTTTAAGAACTGTATGTTTAGTATATTTATAAGGTTAACTTTTGGATACCAATAAGGCGTAACTTTAAATCACTATATTTCCCATATAAAAAAAATCCTATTTAAGACAAAAGCAGAATTGAGAAATAGTTTTTCTCAATTTATTCAAATTCCATCGATCATAATTAGTCTTCACATTATTTTTCTCTGTGTAGTTATGTTATGTTCGTTGGCAATATCATTCCAGTTTATAGTTACTGTGGCTGCTGCTATTCGTTTTCCTTTTGCGTTTTCCCCGCTTTCCTTTTTTTTGGCGCTGTCCTTGCAATTTCCATGTGTTGACATTGCCGTGCTCCATTCACTTTCCCACTTTGGCCCGGCGCTGGCTGCTTCCTGTTGCCAGTTTTTCCGTTTCGGGGTTTCGTAGTTTCGGGTGTTGTTGGGCGATAGAGTGGCCTCCGCCTCCGCCAGTCATCGGTCTCCGGTTCAGCCGCCCACCAATTTCGAGGGGGGCTTGGGGAATCCCAGGGGATGGGGGCTTGGAGGCTTGTAGACAACAAATGCATTTTATAGAAAACTTGCAAGGCAAATATTAAAAATTGAATGCCGCCATTGTTGCCCTTGTTGTCGTTTCGGCTGTTGTTGTTGGCCATTTGTTTGAAAGTTTTGTGCACTGAGAAAATGTTTTACATATATTTAAAGGAGTGTTTCTTAGCATTAAAATATTTTGAAGAGGGTATTACTTTAGGAAATAATATTTTACATGTTTTCATATTTTCTTTTAAGTAGGAAATGCAATTGAAAAACGTTTTAAAAACAGGTAATACCCATTGAATTTATTCTCCGTGTGGATCAAGGAATCCTTGCTGATTGCCTCTGAGTGGCTGGGCTCCGCTTTCTGACATGGCCCCATAAGAAATGTCAACCCTTTTCCACTCCTTTACGCCCCAGCCTCTCAAAATACAACAATATGTAATCATATTTTTCTTTATACGCTACGCACGCGTCACCGTTAAACACGGATGGGAAAACTGGTGGCGGAGGGGGCTCAGGATAACCGGGGAAAGGGAGGGCTGTGGTGCCAATGTGAATCCTGCTATCAGTCGCATCTGTCTTTTGCCGTAGTCGTTGCTGCCTAAAGCGGAAGTAAAAGGATTTGAATTGCCTTTTGCTAACAAAATAACAAAACACCCTTAATGTATGCAAATTCCCCCAAGTTTAAAGTCTCCTGCCAGCTAAGCAAACATCTTAGCGTCTTGTCTCGGCAGAAATTCGCATCGGGCCTACTTAAAGGAGCCGCATTTAAGGATTCCAACGGACGGGAGTTCCTTCCCCCCAGTCAATGACCGATTGCCCCTTAAGTGTTTTCCTCGGATAACAGAAGGTCAATTTGGGAAGCTAGAAAAACTAAAACTTTAAATTGAATTTGGATAATGCCTTAAGGGGAAGTGAACACTAGTGAGTTTGGAAAGGGGGTTTATTTTAGGGACCTGTTATTTTTACTTGAAATATTAAGGAAATATTTACATACTTGAATTTTTTCAGTAATTTTTATTATTTTGTTATTTAAATCAGTTTATTAATATAAGGATTTGTAAAGTTGTAGTGTCGTTGGTGGCAGGCAATCAGATATATACCCCGATGTCTCGATGATATATTCTAGATTTTTGTTGATTCTGTATATTTTTGATAGTGTTGTATACAGATTAATGTTATTTTCCGTTTGTTCTGCAGAGCGCTGCTGCTAGGTGTTGTGTTGTGAATGTATCAAAGATATTCAAATGATATTTTTGGTGTATCGGAAAATAAATTAGAAATAGTTAGGTCTAGTTTGCATTCTTCTTGCTCAAATCTTTGTCGGTTAACTTCAGAAGAGAGTGCGAAGAAGTCGGTAGATCCCAAGCCCCTGAGTTCCGTTCGCGCAGGGTTGTATTCCTGGTTCCTCCGAAAGTTCTGCGTCCCCTGGCAAATCGCCTGCCGATCATGTGAAACTCCCGTTCTTCGTTAAAATCTGATGCAAAAGAGGTATGGTCCGTGGGGACAAAGGAACTAGATGCGACGAGAGGTCGGCTGCTAGAGGGCGCCTCGGTATCTTGAGCTTGGTTTTCTTTCCAAGACCGCGATCCTGGCAGTGGGTATAAAGGGTCCCTGGATCCTCCTGAAATTCTAAGTCCCCTGGTAAAACGCCTGCCGATCGCGTGAAACTCCCGTTCTTCGTTCAAATCGGATGCGAACGCGGAATTGTCAGAGGGGACGTAGGATCTAGAAGCGACGGAATGTAGGCTGCTAGAGGGCGTCTCGGTATCTTGGAATAGGATCCCTTGCCGGAACCGCGATCCTGTGGGTGTATCCCTGGATCCTCCTGAAGTTCTGCGTCCCCTGGCAAAACGCCTGACAGGTATGTGGAACTCCCGTTCTTCTTTTAAATCAGATGCGAAAGCGGTATGGTCAGTGGAGACGTTGGAGCTAGATGCGACGAAAGGTCGGCTGGTAGAGGGCGTCTCGGTATCTTGAGCTTGGTTTTCTTTCCCGGATCCTGGGAGTGAGTAAAAAGGGTCGCGCAGTGTTGTATTCCTGGTTCCTCCGAAAGTTCTGCGTCCCCTGGCAAAACGCCTGCCGATCATGTGAAACTCCCGGTCTTTGTTTAAATCGGATGCAAATGAGGTATGGTCCGTGGCAGCAAAGGAGCTAGATGCGACGAATGTTGGGCTGCTGGGAGGCGCCTCGGTATCTTGAGCATGGTTTTCTTTCCGGGATCGCGGTCCTGGCAGTGAGTATAAAGGGTCCCTGGATCCTCCTGAAATTTTACGTCCCCTGGCAAAACGCCTGCCGGTCGTGTGGAACTCCCGTTCTTCGTTCAAATCGGATGCGAACGCGGAATGGTCAGAGGAGACGTAGGAACGAGATGCGATGGAATGTTGGCTACTGGAGGGCGTCTCGGTACCTTGGGATAGGATCTCTTGCCGGAAGCGCGATCCTGTGGGTGTATCCCTGGAACCTCCTGAAGTTCTGCGGCCCCTGGCAAAACGCCTGCCGAGCCTGGGAGACTCCCGTACTTCACTTAAATCGAATGTAAAAGTGGTATGATCAGTGGGGACGTTTGAGCTAGAAGCGACGGAATGTTGGCTTCTGGAGGGCGTCTCGGTATCTTGGGATAGGATCTCTTGTCGGAACCGCGATCCGGAGGGCGAGTAAAAAGGGTCGCGCAGGGTTGTATCCCTGGATCCTCCTGAAGTTCTGCGTCCCCTGGCAAAACGCCTGCCGAGCCTGGGAGACTCCCGTTCTTCCTTTAAATCGGATGCAAAAGCGGTATGGTCAGTGGGGTCGTGGGTGCTAGATGCGACGAAAGGTCGGCTGGTAGAGGTCATTTCGGTATCTTGGGATTGTATCTCTTGCCAGAAGGCCTCAATGGAGATCGAGGCATCCGGATTGGGTTCGTTGGACAGGGGCTTGTGCTTTCCAGGCTGAAGGGCGATGGCCAGGTTGCCGCACATGTAATCACAGAAGGTATAGGCCCATCTGGTCACCATGCTCTGGGTACAGTACTTGGTGCGGTCGATCTCCTCGTGGTACTGCAAACAGAACAACAATATAGTATCATAATGCAAATATTTAATCACGGAATTTTTACCTGGCATGCGATCTCAGGCGCAAGATCAAATGTGTCCCGTTTAAAAATCATGTCAGTCACGTGTTTATTTATTCCAGGATCGGGAAATCCGGCGACATCCATTACCACCTTCTTAAGCATGAAGAACAAATAATGCAGGTCAAGGACCTTTATTAGTTCGACTCCGCATCCCTCGCCCAAATAGCTAAAGCACTTTGTGACCATGGGAATACCTTTTGATGGCGTAAAGACTACGAATCGGTCATCCCACTGGCACTTCTTTAGGTACTCAAGGATGTTCCGAAAGACGTTAAGCATTTTCCGATCTCCAAGAGCTCTGGGTGGCAGTGGAAGCTCGTGGGTCGTCGCTGCGTGGTGGATCGCATCGCTAGCGTGTCCGAATATGAGCGAGTCAGGAGCTATCAGGGTGCTATATACGGAGCGTACACCATCTTTCAGGGAAAACTCACAGGCCGAGAACTCGGCGGGCACATAGACATCGTGGATTACGTCTTCGGTGAAGACATTGAAAGCGACCAAAACGAACTTGGCGTTCTCCAAATCTGCCACACAAAAAGTTGATAAGTTAAAAGTTAAAGTTAACACAAAAATATTTCTAAGACATAAGTGTTTTTCACTGTTGGGCTAGGTTCATAAAAGTACAAAAAAATAATTTTGTTTCAGTATTGATCAATCAAATAAATTTTAATTTACACTTAACTTAATAACTCTAATAACTCTCTAATGCCTTAGTCCCACTAGGAGATTTGACTTACCATCAGAGTTCTTGGCGTCCATCACCATGCGTTCGATGGTGCGTTTCTGAAGGTTTTCGCGATCCTCGACCTGTCGTTTGTCCTGCTCCACGTGGGTGACTGGATGGCCGTAGCAATTGAGGCGTTCCACCCTATTGCCATTCATACCGTTTGCATCCTTGGCTTTTGAGCAGTATGGGCCCCGCTCCAGAGTTGTCATTTCCTAAAGAAAAGAGATGATAAGCTCTATAGTTTGGATTGAGTGCGGAATCACGCAGAACTCACCTTCCATATCTCGCTGCAGTGGGCCACAGCCTGATCTATGGTCATTTCAAAACCACCGTCGTTAGTTTTCCGCCACTCGGTTACGAATAACATAAACGCGCTAATCTTCTTAGGGGCCATCGTAATTAAGAGAGTAAGAAATTAATTCAAATCGGAAGTAGCTGTCTTGCGAAAATATTTTTCCTTTTGCTTTGCCTTGCTTTGCTTTTTGCTTTCAGAATTCCCGTCTGTCTGACTGTTCAGGATGACTGTCAAAAATTGGTTAGGGATGAGCTACTTAATCACGAAGCGATTTTCTGGAGTTTTTCAGCACTATAAATCCAAGTTAAGGATGTTTGCTTACAACACTATAAATTAATTTAGATTGAGTTGGATAGAAATTAGACAATTTTTAGTTTTTTTATTTTAAATAGTCCAATAAGGTCCTTAAAACTGAAACTTTGATACATTTTAATTGGTTACTGTAAATTTTGCTTGACTTCTAACTTATTTTCCTCATTTGCGAGGGTACTCAGCTAAATTTAAATTGTTGCTGAAAAGTGTGTTGTTTCCGCCCACAATACTCCAAAAAATGGCTGTTAATCGACAACTGGCCACACTTATTTACACAGGTTTGTAGAGTAGGAGTAAAAATGGTTTATTTTTTGAATGACAAGCTTTCCTAAGTTTTTTGTTCTCTAACTCATGGTGAATTTCTGGGGTAGTTCAGTTTAAAATCATCCCCGGGTTATTCGCATTTCAGCCACTGCTAGGAAAATTGGCGTCCTGTGAGTCCTTCCTCCAGAATTCGAGTCTCACTCTAAAGCAGCACTCATTTGCTCTTGAGACCTTTTCAAAACCACTCAATTCACTGCTCAAGCGCGCGCTTTTGTCAGCGGATTTCTCTGTAAATACCGCTTGGCTGGCCGTAAAACTTCGATTGACACACTGAACTCGGTGCCAGTCGGTCACGATGTTCGCCGGCAGCTGCTGTCGGTTGGAATTTGCCAAAAAAAATAAAAATACGCGAAAAATAAAAAGCGGGGATACTGGTCAAATTTTTGATTTATTTGAAATTTTTAATAATCTAAAATTGGGGAATGAAATGGTTTGAATGAGCTCTTGGCCAAGAAAATGAATGCAAATTTCATGCAGCTCTGCCCGGAAAATTTGAGTCCGTTTTCCGTATTCTCTTGGCCCGTAACCCGTATTCCGTAACCCGCAGTTCGCCAGACCTGACCTAAGGCAAGCCGCACAAAATTTGACTATGGCAAATTCACTTAGACGTTGGCCTTTCCACGGCGTGCGCACAAAAACTTTTTTGCCACATTTTTCTTTCAGTTTTTTTTATTTTATTTTATTTTATTTTTTTCATACATATTTAGCACATGGTGGTTGGGTAAATTTGGAGGTGGTTGTGGGGGTGTGTTTGTGGGGTGTTTGCTTGCCACTTTGGAGCAGCTACAACGCATAAAGATGCGACTTGGCGTAAAGTGTGTTTACGTGTGTGAGCTTGTGTGTGTGTGTGGTTGGTTTTTGCGGCTCGGACTCCGGCACTCCAGCACTACGGATCTGCGACTCCGGGTTTTCCTAGGTCCTCCTCCGACTGGCTGGCTGGCTGCCTGGCAAACGCGGCGTATACTTAATTCGGTTTATGCCCGAACGTGTCGCACATTATTCTTATGTCCTCTCTGTCGACTACGATGTGTGAAATATGCTGAATGTGTGTGCACAGCAATTTTGATTAGACGCACACCCACTAACCCACACACACACACATCCCTCAACTGACAAGGCCGCCAAACAATTAAAATTTCTTTTGTTCCCGTAGAAACGATTTGTTTGATTTGCTCTAAGCGCGAAATAATGAAAATTATGGAAATGAAATGCCTGCCCATTGACCTCATTGAGCAGCCAGCTGAAGTGAATAGAAAAGAAGGCAGTACGGGGGTGGTTATATTAGGACAAGTTTACCTTAGACGGATACCAGTGATGTTAACCAAAGAAAAAGAGCCCAAATAGGGTATCTCCAAAATGATGAACATATAAAAGAGTTCACAGAAAAGCTAAGTACATAATTTTAATGAATTTCAATTTTAAATGAATTATAAAATGCCTTTACTGAACCCATTTTACTTTTAAGGGACTTTATTTAAGCACTCATTTTCTTAAAACACAGACAAGAAATGTTTAAGGTAACTTTAAATTATTAGGGATGATACTAAATGTAAAATACAGTATTTAGGGGTGCCACAGAAATCACAGGAGTTTTGAAATCACTTTTAAATGTAATATCAGGTGTCTAAAAGTATGCAGTGATGAAAGAAATGAAAGAATTTTTTGTACTTGGGAGTTTAAAATATATTGTAGCATACTTTTAGAAGTGATTAAAAAATTAAATGAAGTGGTTTGTTTCACTAACATAAGTTAGATAAGATATATAAAGCTTTGATTTAAGATGATTTGAATTTTCAATAACTAACAATTGAATCATCCTTTCTATTCCTTTTAAATTGCTAGAAAATCTTTAAAGTTTCACTATTTAAACTGAATAATATCCATTCCATTTTTAATAAAAAACTTGAATAAAACTCAAAAATAATCCAGATTTCAGCAAAATTAAATTAAACTGCTCTGCCCAAAAAAAATAACACTAAAAATTGGGTTTTTTCCGAAAGCTTACCGAATAATAGCCTCAAAATAGCTGGCATCTCTGGCAGTTATCGCCTGGCCACTTTCCACCGCGTATTTTCTCATAATTTTTACGACCTATTTCGTGTGAAAACTGTGTCGCCATTCGCGGTGGCCGGCCAAGTGGTCAACTGGAGTGGAACTTTTAATTTCAATTTTTTATTACTTCAAATCTGTTTGCGCACGGTCAAAACAGGAGCACCGAAAAGGAGGAAAGCCTGACCCGGAGTCAGCTTGTCTCACCTGTTTTTCCATTGTGTCCCCATTTTTTGGTCCTGTGGTTTGCAAACTGTGCGGCTTTTTGAATACAGCCATGAAATGGTTTTTTCGGTTAGTTTTTCCGCTCCACGGCTTCTTGGCTTTTGGATATGGTCTACATTTATTGGCCTGGCGACAAATTTTTATTGCCCATCCGTAGTTTTGGCCAAAAGGAGCATATGTCTGTGGGGGAGTCCTCTCCTGCTCGGAAAACTCAAAAAAAGTTTGTGCATTCCGTGTGCCTGGGGTCTAATCACATTGCCAGGCATCAGGCATAGGAAATCGAGAATCGGGAATCAGACGCCAACCTTCCAAGTACGTGATGCATTTTTTACAAGATGTTCAGACTCCAACCGACTTGCGGTCCTCGGATAGTTCTCCTTCGACTTCGACTTCTCCTTCGACCCGCTCCACTGGCTCACAATTTGACTTTTGATGTGGGTATGTGGATATTGGCACGCCCTCAAGCACCATGGGTGAAATGCAAAAGTTTCGCTGCCAAAATGTTTGGAGTTTGGCCAAGTTTTCCAATAACCCGGCCACTTATGTGGCTTCCATTTTAATTTGATATTGAAAGCGAACTGTGAACGGTACTCTCTTTCAGGCAGGTGGCCCCAAAAGTTTTAATTATCGAACCCGAAATTATGAAGCAATAATATTGAATTTATGAAAGCAGATAATTCAATTTATGAGGCCTGGAATGATATCAGCGAAAGTCAGCCGCAGAAAACTGTTGAATTTTTACCCCAGGAAAGCAATTACACAGGGAAAACATTAAATATTTTTGAACAAATGTTTTCTTTAAGACCCAGTGGTATATAATAGCCAAACAAAATTTCAAACCTTACATTTTCGAACATTTTTCTATGAAAAAGGTTGCTTTGTTAGTTTTTTATAGAGCTGATTTTATAAGTTGCACCCACGAGTGGAATACATTTTTAAAATAGTTTTTACTCCGCATTGTGAGGACTTTTAGCCGTGTATTGTTCTCCCACATTGATAATTCAATTGGGGTTTCCTTTATGATAGCCCCGAGTTGTATAGCATCCATCTGATATTATATACTATAACCAGTTTCGATCCACAGTGCCCAGTTGGCATGCCAGAATTTGTGGATATTCTGTTTAAATACCGTAATGAAGTCTGCTTATACAATATAATGTGCCGTGTTTGTGCTACGTGCCCTGGTTGTGTTATTGCACGCCGATCCGCACTTCCGTTGGCGGTTGGTTCCCCTCGTTTCCGTTCCGCTTGGCAGCCGATTCTGGGCGGGATTGGGGGCTCAACTCCGGGTCTCAGGCTGTGTTTTTATTTGCGTCGGCAAATCTTAAGCTTGTTTAACTGCTCGTTAGTGTTAGTCGCTAGCTAGTGCCGATGCCGCTGCCCCCCGCATCCTTCTATCCTAACATCCTATTGTTATAACACGTTCACGACCTAGTCAACATCTCCAGCTGACTTGGGCCCATGGATCCCGGAGTCTCTGACTCCGACTCTGTCTGTGTTTGGCAAGCATCGCAGCTGAACACTGAAAGTAGTGCCATCGGATGGGCTTGGAGTGTATGTGCCAAGGTGGATGCTAAGTACCGACCTCCAAGACCATTTCCACCTGCCACCAGTCGTTTGTGCTGCACGGAGAAAAAAATCGGATGCGTTACTTAAATTATTGTGAAACTGTAGCACATTTCATTAAAGAAAGTTCAGTAAAAGACATTTTTTTAAAATCGCAATGACAATACATTTTCCAGCTGTATCAAATATTTGCTCGAATGCACAGTAAAAAATGAAATGTAATATATTTTTGAAAATATTATTTAAGTTGCTTTCTGAAACCCCAAAAATTATATTATCTTTATGTTGTTTTACCTTGAATATACATATAATATAGCAAATATAAATTCTTATTTATTTAATTTATTTATTCTCGAGTTAAAATGCAAGTGTAAGTTACCTATAACCTATACTTTTGTAGCTTTATCCACTGTGGCCTTAAGCTTTAAATTCAAGAACAATGCCTTACTTACACGTTTAGAAATCTATCTTATACATAAGCTAAGCCAAAAGTATTATTTGTTTAAATTTTTTTTTAAATGAAGTAAAAATAGGTAATTTATACTTTATTAATTTTCCTCTTTGCAGGAGTGTTCGAATTTTCTCTCTGTGCATCAGTCATGGCTGCTCTGCCTGACTGGTAAATGTTTGTCCAGCATAATTGCGCTCAGCATGCAGTTTCCCTTCGCCTTTGCTTTTGCTTTTGCTTTCCCAGTGGCAGTGGCTACAATATTTTCCCTCAGAGCGTCGCCTTTGCCGGCGCTTTTCAATTTTCCCTAGTTTTGCCTTCTTGCGGAGCTTTAAAGGATTTGGAACTTGTTTACGTGGCGTATTAGTATAATTTACAACGGAAGCCATCAAAGGCTTTGATGCGCCGCAGGCGAGTCTGGAAATTATTTTCCCATCGCCTTAGCCCAACTAATTTCGACGTGTCCGCAGTGTTGATTTTGA